GCAGAAGTACCACCCTGAGCAAGCTGAAACAAGCTATCTTTGCAACAAGTTCAGTGACAGAACCATGTCCCAATTTAGGGAAATGTTAAAGAGGCGCCAGAAACGGAGGACTGTGGACAGTTATTTTGCGAGACGGGTCCAGTGACTCAAGCTGGTCCTAGTGGCATTAAAAGACAGAAGGGAAGTAACCCCAGAGAGGGCTTTACCTGAAGTCCTCATGGAGGGGGATTCTCCTTCCAAACACTAACCCCAACTCCCTCTCTCCTCCTCCCTATCTTCCAGATGCCATCACCAATCTTCAATAAAGGTAAGTAAAAATGTATTTTATATGTATTACTATACATAATTAAAAACAATAGTATTTGTTGTATGTAAAACTGTAATTAATCTCTATAAAATGTATTTTTTGTGTGAATATTTTTGGGTTTCTGGAACGGATTAATTGTATTTCAATTATTTCTTATGAGAAATATTGCTTCGAATTTCAGACTTTTCGAATTTAGAACTAGCTCCTGGAATGGATTAAGTTCGATTTTTGAGGTTCCACTGTAATTGTTTGCATTAGTGTAATAAAATACTTCATAAATAAGAGTATGACAACTCTGGAACTTATATACATATACCAGATTTAAGAGATACATTGTTAATATAAAGATGGCATATACAGTACATGAAGTGTACATGAGATATATGTCTAGTACATATTGTTACACGTTTGTCATTGATTATAATGCAAAAATCTCGTCCAGCTCCTCAGACCTGGAGCATGTGCCTAAGATACCAGTATTATTATTCCATTGTTTTTTATCCATATAGCAATTGAAGAAATTATTTTTCACCCATAAATATTACACACAATCTGCACAGGACAATAACTTACGATGTTTCAGTTTGACATGGACCATTACCTAGTTGCACAGAAGCATAAAGAGAAGCCAGAATATACAAGAGAAGGGGACACGAGTTGTAAAACAGGAGAGAGTATTAATATTGTAACCCCTCCCCCCCCCCCTCTTGTATATATTCTGGCTACCTTCTCTTCATGCTTCTGTGTGACTAGTTCATGGTTCAAGTTGGACCAAAATATTGTAAGCTTTGGTCTCTTATGCTCTGGTTATTTATGTATTGTTCGTCCTTGTGGCTTAGCGCTTCTTTTTGATTATAATAATAATAATATGTATTGTTCGAGTCACAATATTGTCATTCTATTCTTCACCCTTGAATGTTTTGATTAAGGTTTTAAGCACTTTGGACCTTCAGGTGTAAGTGTCGTAGGTTATAAATAAAAGGGGCCTACAGAACTTTTGATAATACTGTACATAAAACTTGCTAATTTCTAATTAATCCTTAATGGCAAAGCATAGGCTAAAGTTAGGTATGTTTAATATATTTATTTATTTTTCTTTGGGTTTATGAAAAATTACCAATTTTAATGGGTGTGCACAAACATTTAATATCTTTTATTGTGGAGAACATAGGCAAATGAGCATTATAAGCTGATTTCACATTAAGTATCTTCAATAGTACAAGACCCAAATGCAGTATAATGTAAGCCTTTACTGATAATGTTTTCCCAGGCAGTGAACTTTCGTCAAGTTACACAGATAAACCTGGAGAGGGAGTATATAAAGGGGAGTGCAGTGAAGTGAAGAGATAGGTTAGGTGTAGAGGGGGGAGGAGGTTATGCCTTGTTCCTTAGAAAGGTCTAGAGGTTTGGCTATGCAGTAAAGCCATTGTAATGGTTGAACTTGTTGGGTCTGCTGAGAGTGCTTGTTTCAGAACACCTAGAATTAGTGGTGCACAATTGTGGTTAATCAAATGGTTGTGAGAATTTTGGTGTTGTAAAATGCAGACATTATGTCCTCAATTATTCTGGCATATTGGTTTTCCAAAATGCATCTGTGAAGATCCCTATGTATATATTGTCATAGTCCTTGTAGTGGTTTGGTTTTGGTGATCATAGTGGAGGCCATGTTGGCAATGGAATTTGGTGTTTGGATAGAGTATTAGAGATATGTTTGACAATTGAGTTAGTAGGGAGGATTATGCATCTTTCTAGTTATCTTGGTTAGTTAATACGTACAAGGTAGTCGCAATCCCTGATGAAGTGTTGAGGCTAGTGAAGTTTATAAATAACTTATTCAAAGAAAGAGCATTCAAGGAATTTGTTCCTGCCAGATGACTGTGAAACAAAAACCTGTAACTGTTTTGCATGATGGTAGGATTGCTGGTTTCTTTTTCTGTCTCATAAACACGCTAAGATAACAGGGATATCTTGCTACTCCTACTTACACTTTGGTCACACTTCACAGACACGCACATGCATATATATATATACATACATCTAGGTTTTTCTCTTTTTTCTAAATAGCTCTTGTTCTTTTTTATTTCTTCTATTGTCCATGGGGAAGTGGAAAAGAATCTTTCCTCCGTAAGCCATGCGTGTCGTATGAGGCGACTAAAATGCCGGGAGCAATGGGCTAGTAACCCCTTCTCCTGTATACAATTACTAAAAAAGAGAAGAAGAAAAACTTTATAAAACTGGGTTGCTTAAATGTGCGTGGATGTAGTGCGGATGACAAGAAACAGATGATTGCTGATGTTATGAATGAAAAGAAGTTGGATGTCCTGGCCCTAAGCGAAACAAAGCTGAAGGGGGTAGGAGAGTTTCAGTGGGGGGAAATAAATGGGATTAAATCTGGAGTATCTGAGAGAGTTAGAGCAAAGGAAGGGGTAGCAGTAATGTTAAATGATCAGTTATGGAAGGAGAAAAGAGAATATGAATGTGTAAATTCAAGAATTATGTGGATTAAAGTAAAGGTTGGATGCGAGAAGTGGGTCATAATAAGCGTGTATGCACCTGGAGAAGAGAGGAATGCAGAGGAGAGAGAGAGATTTTGGGAGATGTTAAGTGAATGTATAGGAGCCTTTGAACCAAGTGAGAGAGTAATTGTGGTAGGGGACTTGAATGCTAAAGTAGGAGAAACTTTTAGAGAGGGTGTGGTAGGTAAGTTTGGGGTGCCAGGTGTAAATGATAATGGGAGCCCTTTGATTGAACTTTGTATAGAAAGGGGTTTAGTTATAGGTAATACATATTTTAAGAAAAGAGGATAAATAAGTATACACGATATGATGTAGGGCGAAATGACAGTAGTTTGTTGGATTATGTATTGGTAGATAAAAGACTGTTGAGTAGACTTCAGGATGTACATGTTTATAGAGGGGCCACAGATATATCAGATCACTTTCTAGTTGTAGCTATACTGAGAGTAAAAGGTAGATGGGATACAAGGAGAATAGAAGCATCAGGGAAGAGAGAGGTGAAGGTTTATAAACTAAAAGAGGAGGCAGTTAGGGTAAGATATAAACAGCTATTGAGGATAGATGGGCTAATGAGAGCATAGGCAATGGGGTCGAAGAGGTATGGGGTAGGTTTAAAAATGTAGTGTTAGAGTGTTCAGCAGAAGTTTGTGGTTACAGGAAAGTGGGTGCAGGAGGGAAGAGGAGCGATTGGTGGAATGATGATGTAAAGAGAGTAGTAAGGGAGAAAAAGTTAGCATATGAGAAGTTTTTTTCAAAGTAGAAGTGATGCAAGGAGGGAAGAGTATATGGAGAAAAAGAGAGAAGTTAAGAGAGTGGTGAAGCAATGTAAAAAGAGAGCAAATGAGAGAGTGGGTGAGATGTTATCAACAAATTTTGTTGAAAATAGAAAAAGTTTTGGAGTGAGATTAACAAGTTAAGAAAGCCTAGAGAACAAATGGATTTGTCAGTTAAAAATAGGAGAGGAGAGTTATTAAATGGAGAGTTAGAGGTATTGGGAAGATGGAAGGAATATTTTGAGGAATTGTTAAATGTTGATGAAGATAGGGAAGCTGTGATTTCGTGTATAGGGCAAGGAGGAATAACATCTTGTAGGAGTGAGGAAGAGCCAGTTGTGAGTGTGGGGGAAGTTCGTGAGGCAGTAGGTAAAATGAAAGGGGGTAAGGCAGCCGGGATTGATGGGATAAAGATAGAAATGTTAAAAGCAGGTGGGGATATAGTTTTGGAGTGGTTGGTGCAATTATTTAATAAATGTATGGAAGAGGGTAAGGTACCTAGGGATTGGCAGAGAGCATGCATAGTTCCTTTGTATAAAGGCAAAGGGGATAAAAGAGAGTGCAAAAATTATAGGGGGATAAGTCTGTTGAGTGTACCTGGTAAAGTGTATGGTAGAGTTATAATTGAAAGAATTAAGAGTAAGACGGAGAATAGGATAGCAGATGAACAAGGAGGCTTTAGGAAAGGTAGGGGGTGTGTGGACCAGGTGTTTACAGTGAAACATATAAGTGAACAGTATTTAGATAAGGCTAAAGAGGTCTTTGTGGCATTTATGGATTTGGAAAAGGCGTATGACAGGGTGGATAGGGGGGCAATGTGGCAGATGTTGCAAGTGTATGGTGTAGGAGGTAGGTTACTGAAAGCAGTGAAGAGTTTTTACGAGGATAGTGAGGCTCAAGTTAGAGTATGTAGGAAAGAGGGAAATTTTTTCCCAGTAAAAGTAGGCCTTAGACAAGGATGTGTGATGTCACCGTGGTTGTTTAATATATTTATAGATGGGGTTGTAAGAGAAGTAAATGCGAGGGTTTTGGCAAGAGGCGTGGAGTTAAAAGATAAAGAATCACACACAAAGTGGGAGTTGTCACAGCTGCTCTTTGCTGATGACACTGTGCTCTTGGGAGATTCTGAAGAGAAGTTGCAGAGATTGGTGGATGAATTTGGTAGGGTGTGCAAAAGAAGAAAATTAAAGGTGAATACAGGAAAGAGTAAGGTTATGAGGATAACAAAAAGATTAGGTGATGAAAGATTGAATATCAGATTGGAGGGAGAGAGTATGGAGGAGGTGAACGTATTCAGATATTTGGGAGTGGACGTGTCAGCGGATGGGTCTATGAAAGATGAGGTGAATCATAGAATTGATGAGGGAAAAAAGAGTGAGTGGTGCACTTAGGAGTCTGTGGAAACAAAGAACTTTGTCCTTGGAGGCAAAGAGGGGAATGTATGAGAGTATAGTTTTACCAACGCTCTTATATGGGTGTGAAGCGTGGGTGATGAATGTTGCAGCGAGGAGAAGGCTGGAGGCAGTGGAGATGTCATGTCTGAGGGCAATGTGTGGTGTGAATATAATGCAGAGAATTCGTAGTTTGGAAGTTAGGAGGAGGTGCGGGATTACCAAAACTGTTGTCCAGAGGGCTGAGGAAGGGTTGTTGAGGTGGTTCGGACATGTAGAGAGAATGGAGCGAAACAGAATGACTTCAAGAGTGTATCAGTCTGTAGTGGAAGGAAGGCGGGGTAGGGGTCGGCCTAGGAAGGGTTGGAGGGAGGGGGTAAAGGAGGTTTTGTGTGCGAGGGGCTTGGACTTCCAGCAGGCATGCGTGAGCGTGTTTGATAGGAGTGAATGGAGACAAATGGTTTTTAATACTTGACGTGCTGTTGGAGTGTGAGCAAAGTAACATTTATGAAGGGATTCAGGGAAACCGGCAGGCCGGACTTGAGTCCTGGAGATGGGAAGTACAGTGCCTGCACTCTGAAGGAGGGGTGTTAATGTTGCAGTTTAAAAACTGTAGTGTAAAGCACCCTTCTGGCAAGACAGTGATGGAGTGAATGATGGTGAAAGTTTTTCTTTTTCGGGCCACCCTGCCTTGGTGGGAATCGGCCGGTGTGATAATAAAATAAATAAAAGATACTGAAGAGCACATAAGTCTATACACCTATATGCTGGTGAGGGGCTCTTGATCTAGGGAATTAGATATGTACTCCAGCTCCTTGAATTGAACCTGAATCCCTTTGGGTATAGTGCTAACCCATGATGATAGCAATAACATCAAGTCTATAATGACCTCACATTTAGTTTTGGTGCCATGATGTAAAGTGAAATGGAGCAGATCATACTGGTGAATTTATGGTAAACTTTGAAGTGTAGCTCATGGTCAGATTTTCAAAGTAGAATACTGAGGAAAGGTAGAGTATTGTCAACTTCATGTAAACTGAATGGAAGGTTTGACCTAGTTAAGCCTGTGTTGGAAGGTAGTCAAGCCTTCCATCCCATTTACACTCAGCAGTACTCTCCCATTCCTTGATGTTCTATTCTGATGACCATGAGCTACATTTCAAAGTAGACCATAAACCCACCAACATGATCTGCTCCATTTCAATTCACACTAAGACTAAATGCAAGCTCATTATAGGGTTATATGCTCTATCTGTAATAGCAAATTCCTTGGAGTGCTCTTTCTTCAAACAAGATTTTTATAAGCTTCACTACCCTTGACACTATATCAGGGATTCGCCTGCAGCGCTGTATAGCCCTTGTGGTTTAGCGCTTCTTTTGGGTTATAATAATATATCAGGGATTTTGGTGAGGGGCTTTTGATCTAGGGAATTGAATCTGTGCTCAAGTTTCCTGAATTAAGCCTGAATACCTTTCACAGGCACTCCCCCTTGATTATAATAATAATTTATCAGGGATTGCAGAGACTGTGCATATATCGTAAACTTGCCATAATACTCTCAAAAGATAAATAGTCCTCCCTAACAATTCAAATATATATCTAACACACTATCCAAATGCTAAAGTCCAGGTCACCGACACTGCCTCCACTATGATCAAGAACATCAACAGAATGGGACCCCAAAACCAAACCAATGCAGGGGTATACAATCCCTTGCAATGTGTATAAGTCACATTGAATTGGTAAAACTGGTAAATTAGCAAAAAAAAAAAATAAAAAATTAAGTCCTTTCTAAAATTTTCTCTTGTATGTTTAAAGATATATCTTTTCATTTAAGGTAAAAATTAATAATTTTATACCAAAAGAACATTAGAAAACTTGCCTAACCTTATTATAACAAGCACAATTTAATTTAGCCTAATCCAACTAAATATATTTTAGGTAAGTTTAATAATAAACAATGAAATATTTTTTTTGTCAGGTTCAGAATGATTTTTTTTAAATTACTGCATACACAAATTTTCGCTTGCCTTATTCAGCAAGCGGAGCGTTGCTATTTAAGCCAAAAAAATTGCAAGTTTTACCCATTTGGCACAACATATATATATACACAGGTGAAACATCCAGACCCATTCACAGATGGATTTTGAAACACTAATACACCAGAAAACACCTGCATTTCACACTGAAACTTGCTATAAGAACCTTTACGATTAGCACTTAATATTCACAATGAAACTCTCAAAGCCAGTCTATTACAAAGGATGGACAATTTGTCAAGAGGATACCAAGAGATGCAGACTCCTAGAAACAGCACTCGGTACATTCAACAATTTCAGCCAGAACAGTGGCTTACATAACTGAATCTCTTACCAGAAATCCTCATAAGAATACTGAAATGAATATGCCTTCCTAAGCTGGACAGAGCCCCCACATTCATCACGCCTAACCTTTTTCTTGCCGTTTTTATTTATATACTCGCCCTCCCTCTTGAAATCTATCAGTGACTTGATAAAGCCCACAGTTTGGATGAAATGTCAATAAAGGATCACATTGTACTGCACAAGCCCATTACCATATGTATCTCTCTCCATTAAGTACTTTCTTCATAGATGCTAAAATGATGTAACTTTTAATAAACTTTGACAGAAGATGAATGCTGGCTAATAAGTAATTATGGCTAAAGTACGCTGCTGCTTATGTTAGGAAAAAAAAAAAAGGGGGGAAGGGGGAATTAAGCTGAGGATGAAACTGCAAAGCGAGTGACCACTTACTGTATTAATTTGAAGGTCGGTAGTTATACGCAGACCAAGGACAAATTAGGAGGGTATGCTATAGATGGCAATCCTCTTTAAAAAAAATTCTAAACTTAGTTAATTAAAAATTAATTTTTTAATCCATACAGCAGATAATAGGATAAATAATTTGATCTGAGAATTGAATGCAAGGTACAACTTTTCATTTCATTGTCTAAAATGACAATTTTTAGCATTAGGTTATGTTGAATTTGATGGTTATTCCTACGAGTACAAAACGTGCCCATATATTTAGGAGATCATAAGTTAGTCTAATAAATCTTTGTGGTTAATTTTCTGTAGGAAGGAAACCATACACTACTCTGCTCAGTCCTTGGCACTACATTATATAGATAGTAGAGGAGTGCTAAACCTATAGAGGTCATACAGTGCCTGGGGAAATGGGGTTTAATCCAAGGGAGAATAGGTCCAATTCTTTTGACAGAGCCTCTCGCCAGCATCAAGACACCTTCCTTGAAGGGTCAACCTTTTGTAGCTTACCCTAGCTCTGCATTCAGCTTCAGCCTTTGACACCCCTCAAGGGAGGGGCTCTTGAATCAATGAACTGGACCTGTCATCCCTTTGAATCTAACTTTATGACTATGGGTTTAGCACTTCCTCCCATGAATGTAATAATTAACCTTCGACATACATTAACTAGTATATATCCAGTTTACCTATCATGTCTTGAATATTTCAGATATAACTTCTAAATTACCCCTCTGGGTTTTCTTCTATTTTCTTGCTGGTTCATTTCCTCTTGCCTACGTGGGGAGGTGGAACAAGAGTTCTTCCTCCGTGAGCCGTGCGCGTTGTGGGGGGGCGACTAAAATGCCAGGAGCAAGGGGCTAGTAACCCCTTCTCCTGTATATATTACTAAATGTAAAAGGAGAAACTTTCCTTTTGGGCCACCCTGCCTCGGTGGGATACGGCCAGTGTGTTGAAAGAAAGAAGAACTTCTAAATTAGTCTATGAAAAATGATTTAAAGTACGGTATTCACGTTTATCCCTCAAGATTTTCAGTGATTATTCATCCTATTTAGTATTTACAAAGTTCATAAAAAAATAAACACTAACATGTTTGAATTATTTTCCTAATACACGTACAATGTATCATATGAACATGACTGTTTTCAGTATATAAACATGACTTTTCTTTCTATTTTTAAAATTTAGTTTGAAAGCTTTATTTACAGTTAACCAAGAAAGACCAATGAATTAGATTAATTCTCTTACAAAGTCAATAATTACACACTAACGTACAAATTGCAGCGCTGTATGACCTTTTCAGGTTCAGTGCTTAACTTTTTTTTATAAAGTAAAAATGATATCAATAAAATAACCTTTGTACAATATTTCATTTTAACAGTAATATATCTATTTTTTTTTTAAATGTATGTGCAGTGGAGTACAGGTTAAAGATATGATTAACAGAAACCAAACCTACCTTATTCATCCAAGTAAAATAAATTGGCCAAAAAAAAATTACAATTGTTCTCATGCATTTATAAAATTTTGAGATAGATTTTTCCAAATTTGGGAGATTTCTGAATTATATTACCACACTTTAAATTGAAGAGGGAAGAAATTAACACTAAGTCCAATTTGGAGAGACTTCCAATATCAAGAATGAGTGTAGTGTAGATGTTTGTGAATGTGCTTTGATGGTTGTTCTCACAGACATGTAATAAGGGCCTCGATCACTTGCCGCTCTCGTCATTGAACCGGAGATGGTAATTCTGCCTGTGATGCTTTCTTTAAAGCTGCCACCCATCTGTATGAAAATTAATAATGGATATTTCAGAAGTATAGCATCAATAAGCCTTATCTACATTACTCACAAGCAAGAAAAGAATGAGACAATGCTTTATGGAAAATAGGACATGTGTAGACACTAAGGACATCTTTATTGGAAACATTTCAGTCCTAGGACCTCTTCAAGGGGGGCTCCTTGGCGTGGTGAAGAGGCTCTTGGTCTGAGGAATTAGACCTATCGGTCTTCTTCCTCAGACCGAACCTAATTACCCCCCAATCTCCCCTCCCCTATCCCATCCTCCCCATCCTCCCCTTTTTCCTTTCCTCCTCCTCCTCCCCACTCCTCCCTTTTGCCCTTCCTCTTTTTGTCCTTTGGGATTTCTCCCACAGGCACGCTAGTTCCTGGGTAGAGGAAAGGACACCGGGTCGATCCCATTCCGTTGAGGTTTCTTGGCGGTGGCGTAGTTTTGCCGTGGAATCTGGATTGCCTAGGATGTCCCGATCCCTCTCCGGTATCCCGGAGTAGTTTGGGTGTCTTTTGGGCGAACGGGTGTATCTCTGGAAGCCACCTTTCGGATTCCGGGGGTGGTGGCTGAAGGAGGTAATGCTTGTGGCGGATATCCGGCCGCCCTCTCTTTTGTCCACCGAGGTAGCTCGGCAGATGTGAGGTTGCTATCCCAGATTGCTGGTTTACTGGCATGAAGGGTAGGGTATGGCACGGGTTCCATGCTGCATCTGCGCTACTAGCGGTGTCGAGTCCTCTTGGCGCGGAGGGAGATTTTCTGGCCCTTTCATTCCTCCTAGGAACTATCCCTCCCCGGTCCCCCCTTTTTTTTCTTTTTTTTATTTTTATTTTCTTCTTTCTTTTTTTTTCTTAAAAACAAAAAGAAAGAAGTAACCTAACCATGGCAGCCCTAGTCCATGAACCTTTTACCCCCCGGGCCCTTCTTGATACCGCACCCCGTTCTGACCCGCCTCGTCTTTGGACCACTCTTCAGAACATTCCTCATGCCTCTGTACCTATTGCCGGTGCTGTTTCCCTCCACCTGCTTCAGGTACTGAGGCCTCGACTGACTCCTTCGATTTATCAGACCTTCGCTCTCCTCTGACTATGCTTCCGGCCTCTCCCTCTACGGTGCGGCAATTTTCAAATCGCCGACCCGTTCCACGTCGGACCAACTCTGGTCCCACGCCTAAACGTCAACGACAATTACCTGCTGATGATACTTCTCCACCTTCACCTTCTCGTTCTTCTCAGAAAAGATCGACACGTCCTTCACTACCTTTCCACGCTCAGTTTCAGACTGAACAGTGGACTAAATTCTTCACTTTGCGACCAACTTCCTCTACTGCCTATCTTTCTGACCATAGTATTGGCAAGGCACTCCTACGCCATGTTGGTAAAGATATTTCTTTCATGCTCTTAAGAGTGGTACGCGCATCATTACCGTACAGAATGCTACCCAGGCTCGTGAGCTCTCTCTCGTCTTTCCCATATAGATACTGTTCCTGTCACCCTTGAAAAACATCATTCCCTCAATTCTTGTAGTGTACCGTTATTCTGCCCCATACCATAGTTCAACAAAATTTCCAGACATGCGGCACCGACATTCTAGAACAGCTGGAACTCCAAGATCTCCCAATCCTCAAGGTAGACACTTACGTTCTTCCTGCCCGTGGGCGGAGACGATACCTAGCAATGTGCTCGTTTAACTTTTGACAGCCGAGAACTCCCATCCTCAGTTTATATAGCAGGACATCGTTACAAGTTCGAAAGGTGATCCCTACACCACAACAGTGTAGAAATTGCTGGCGATTTGGCATACCAGCGAAATATTGCAGATCTATCGCCGAATGCCCAGTCTGTGGTGCCGATGACCATTCTAATACGTCTTGCAATCGATCTCCCTCTTGCCTTAAACTGTCATGAGGCTCACCCTTCGTACTCTCGCCGTTGTCAGGTCTATTTAAACGAGCGGGAAATCCGTTACCTCAAAGAGACAGAAGGTCTCCCTTATGCCATGGCAGTTTCTCATCTCCGCCTCCAAGGGAGACTCCCACGTGTTTCTTATTCCCGTGTTTCAAAACGTCCCCCCACTTCTGGTATCCCATCTCTACACCCACCTCTGTGTTACCTCTCCCATAATCACTCCTGTATCTAATCCTTTTGCTGTCCTCGGCTCAGACGTCCCTACTTCAACGCCTCAGTCTAATCTCGCTTCTTCGAGTTCTCTCTTACAAGCCTCAGTATCGACGAGACCTCGTACGACACCTCTTCCCAATCGTCCCTCTACTTCTCAAAAGTCAAAAAAAGGTCCGGTAACACCTCCTACCCATCTTCCACCTCCTCATTTACCCTCCCTGTCTCTGTCCCAGTTCTTCCCCTCTCACTGGCTCAGTTACAAGTGCAGAGGTTCACCCCCTCCTCGTAATGTAACCTTCCTCCCCTGTTCCCTCCCAAGTTTCTTCCTCTTCTGCCACCTCCCAGGTTCCTGTCTCTTCTGTCCCCTGCCACGCTTCTCCAGTTCCCTCCACCCTTTCGCCCCCCCCTACCTTGGTACATGTCCAATACAGTTCCAATCTTACTCATCCTCCCCCTACCATTCCCAATATTGTCTCCCATACGACATCTCTGAATTCTGAAACACTTGAAGCAATCTCTGAATATATTGCAGAGACCAAACCATCAATGGACACTGATCCACCTTCCGCTCTTTTCTCTCTCCTCTGCTCCATCTGCGCAACTCCTTTCTTCACAGCGCACCGTTCCTTCGCTGCTTGAACATTTTCCACTGCCTCCGCATGTGGACTTTTCTAACCCTCCTAGTCCGTAGGAACCCTTACCTGCGGATTTCAAGTATCTTTATCATTGCCATTCATGGCCTTTTTACAGTGGAATATACGTGGCCTCAGGGGTAATCGGGGTGAGCTTCAGATGTTACTCTCCCAGTTTGCCCCTGTTGGTGTTTGCTTTACAGGAACCAAAATTACACTCTGCTGTTATTTCTCACATCTCAGGCTATAATTTATTGTATTCTTCAGATCCTTTTCCTGATGGGACCTTTAATGAAAGTGCCCTTCTTCTCCGCACTGATATTCCGTACCATCAGCTATTTGTTCATACTTCGCTGCATTACACAGCAGCCCGTATCCACTTACATAGGTGGTATACGCTCTGTTCTTTATATCTCTCTCCTTCTCGGGCATTATCTATTCCGGATTTTGCCTTCCTTGTTTCGTCATTACCGCCACCAATTCTGTTACTTGGTGATTTTAATGCCCACCATTTCCTCTGGGGAGGGTCTCACTGTGATTCCCGTGGAATTCAGTTAGAGGCTTTTCTTGCCACCCACCCCCTCCATGTTTTAAATACAGGTACTCACACCCATTTTGATCCTCGACTCATACTCTCTCTTGCATCGATCTCTCAGTTTGCTCTTCTCCTCCGCCGCATTAGACTTTACTTGGTCTGTTCTCCCGACTTACATGACATGATCATTTCCCAATCATTCTTACTTTCCCCTTCATATTCGCCACCTCTTCGCACCCCACGCTGGCATTTAATCGGGCAAATTGGAACCTTTACTCACACCTGACTGTTTTTAAAGAGGTTCCTTCTTCGTCCTCCATCGATGAGCTTTTACACCTCTTCTCATCCTCCGTTTTCACCGCAGCTTCTCATTCTATACCCCAAACTTCGAGCAGGCATTCTCAGAAATGCGTGCCTTGGTGGTCTCCTGCTTGTGCTCGTGCAGTACGTTTGAAACGCGCTGCATGGGGCAGGTACCGGTACAATAGAACCACAGAGCGACTCCTTGATTTAAAACAGAAGCGTGCGATCGCTCGCCGTGTCATCCGTGACGCTAAAACGCACTTGCTGGCGAGATTATGTCTCCACCATCACCTCTGCTTCCTCTATGAGTGCAGTCTGGAAAAAAGTACGAAAACTGAGTGGTAAATATTCTCCTGACCCGGCTCCTGTTCTGCGGGTTGCCGGTGTTGATATAGCAAACCCACTAGATGTTGCCAATGAATTGGCAATCATCTGGTCCGTATTTCTCAGGGACTCCATCTATGCCCCTCATTTCTTTCCTCAAAGTCTGCCAGAGAGTTAGCACCCTTGGACTTTCTTCTCTCAGAGAAGAACAGTATAATGTGCCTTTTACACTTCAAGAACTGGAGGCAACACTCTCAGCTTGTCGATCATCGGCAGCTGGGCCCGACGACATTCATATTCGTATGCTACAACATTTACATCAGTCAGCCCTTGCAGTCCTATTACGCCTTTACAATCTTATTGGTCACAAGGAGTTCTTCCACAGCTGTGGAAATCCGCCATTGTACTCCCTTTCCGCAAACCAGGCACTACGGGACATGAAACCTCCCACTATCGTCCCATGCTCTTACCATGCAGTTTGCAAAGTAATGGAACGTCTAGTAAATAGACGTTTAGTGTGGTATTTAGAGACACACAACAGTCTCTCCACTCGTCAATATGGCTTTCGTAAGGGACGTTCTACCATAGACCCCTTACTGCGCTTGGATACGTATGTTCGTAATGCCTTTGCGAATAACCACTCAGTTATTGCCATATTTTTTGATCTTGAGAAGGCATATGACACAACTTGGAGGTATAATATTTTAGCCCAAGCCCACTCCTTAGGCCTTCGAGGCAATCTACCATCCTTCCTTAAGAACTTTTTAACTGACAGGCATTTCCGTGTTCGGGTTAATAATGTGCTCTCCCCGGACTTTATCCAAGCTGAAGGTGTCCCCCAGGGATGTGTTTCTGAGCACAACACTTTTTCTCCTTGCTATTAATGATTTGGCCTCTAGTCTTCCATCAAATATTTGGTCATCACTCTAGTTGATGACTTCGCTATTGCCTGTGCAGGCGCTGACTGTCACCTCCTTACAGTTTCTCTCCAGCATGCAGTCGACCGTGTTTCCAATTGGGCCACCACACATGGTTTAAATTTTCCAGCACTAAAACCCACCAAATCACTTTCACTAGACGCTCTGACATCTCTGATCATCCTTTGTACCTCTATGGCTCACGTATCCCTGAACGTATACAGTCAAGTTTCTGGCCTCCTCTTTGATCGTAGTTATCCTGGAAACCTCACATTACACTCCTGAAGGCAACTTGTCACAGCCGGCTGAACCTTCTTAAAACCCTTGCTCATCTTTCGTGGGGAGCTGATCGTCGAACCCTCCTTCACCTACATTCCACCCTTATTTTATCGAAACTTGATTATGGTGACCAGATCTATTCAGCGGCATCTCCTCTACTCTCTCTAGCCTTAACCCCATTCATCACCAAGGATTACGTTTATGCCTTGGTGCTTTCGCTCTTCCCCTGTCGAAAGCCTCTATGCAGAAGCGAACGTTCCATCCTTATCCGATCGCCGTGATGCCCATTGCCTGCGCTACTATGTACGCTCTCATGATCTCCGCAATCCTTCCATTTATAGAATGGTCACTGATATTAGTAGACATTCTTTATTTGTTCGCCGCCCCTGCTTACTCCGTCCCTTCTCTCTTCGCCTTCATTCGCTCTTGTCTTCCTCTTCAACTACCACCTTTCTATGTACATGTAGCATCACACTTTCCCTACCCCCCCTGGAAGTTCCAGCTGTTCGAGTCTGTCTTTCTCCCTCCCTTGCTCGAAAGCCCAACTGTCTACGGTCGCTTCCGCTCTCTTTTTCTTGACCACTTCACTCTCATTCTCATGCCATTGCTGTGTACACAGATGGCTCTAAGTCTTCTGACGGCGTAGATTCGCAGCAGTGTTTCCGGACAGTGTCGTACAAGGGCATTTACTATCTTCAGCTAGTATTTTTACTGCTGAATTATATGCCATCCTTACAGCACTTATCCGTATTGCATCTATGCCTGTGTCATCATTTGTGGTTGTCTCAGACTCCCTTAGTGCTTTACAGGCTATACAAAAATTTGATACACCTCACCCCTTAGTCCTCCGTATCCAACTTTGGCTACGCCGCATCTTTACTAAGCATAAAGATATTGTTTTTTGTTGGGTCCCTGGTCATGTTGACGTACAGGGCAATGAACAGGCAGACACTGCTGCGCAGTCAGCAGTACATGACCTACCAGTTTCTTATAGGGTATTCCATGTACGGACTATTTTGCTGTAATATCTTCCCACCTTCACACCCGTTGGCAACAACGTTGGTCTACATTGCTCGGCAACAAACTTCAGTCTATTAAACCGAGTATAGGTTACTGGCCGTCTTCTTATCACCAGTGTCGAGGTTGGGAGACTACTCTCTCCCGTCTTCGCATTGGCCATACTCGTCTTACTCATGGATATCTCATGAGAGGCGTCTTGCTCCTCTCTGTGAGAATTGCCAAGCTCCAATTAATCAGTCAGCCACATTCTGTTGGACTGCCCACTTTATCAACGAGCACGCAGATTTACCTCTGTCGTCGTCTTCGCCCCGCTGCTCTCTCTTTACCTTCCCTTCTCTCGCTGATGGACCCACCTTTCATCCGGACTCTCTCATTGACTTTTTGACAACGACTGACTTACTCCACAAATTTTGATACTTTCAGCCCTTTCTACTTGTATCTCTTGCTACCCTCTACCCCCGTACTATCCCCTGCCCCGCTGTTTTCTGTAACCTGCTGATCATCCCCCCTCCCTTCTGCCATCCAATTCCCTTGCTTCCTTCCCTACCCTGCAGCGCTGTATAGCCCTTGTGGCTTAGCGCTTCTTTTTGATTATAATAATAATAATCAGTCCTAGGATTTTGGTCACTCCCAATGATACAAGAAAATGAGAGAATACAGTATATACATAGAGCAGAAGAAATAGGTCACTGCTGATGATCAGGTAAAAACATCATCTAACAACCGTGTCACATGGCAGCAAGGAATCGTGGAGTAGTTTCACGTGTACTAAGGTAGTTAAGATGGTGTACTTGCCAGATCTTTTGTCTATGGTGTTGGTAGTAGCAACTAAGGATGCTTCAATAGTGGGGTGCCTATCAATGTTGGATTCTCTGTAGTTCAGTTCTGGTTGGTTCCAATTCATGGGATGCCCCTCTTTTCATGTGTGCAAGACAAGCCTTTTTGGTGTCATCTCAATTGCATGTATTTGTGTCCTCAAACCCATGTACAAAGATTTCTTCCTGTTTCTCCTATATACATCTTGTTGCACCCTCCACATGGTATTGTGTAAATGCCAGCTTTACCGTTTGGTTTGTCAAATCCCTCCGACAAACCATGTAGGTGCAACAAGACATGCGTAGGAGAAACAGGGAGGAATCATTCTACACGGGTCCGAGGACACAAGAACGTATGCAACCATAAATGCTTATCTCACAATCCAAAGAGGAACATCTTATGAACTAGAAAAAATCAGAGCTGATCTACAGAAAATCCAACACTGATAGGCACCACTGTATTGAAGCATCCTTATTGTTATTACTGATAACACAGAACAAAGACCTGGAACGTACACCATCTCAACTGCCCTTACACACGATACTACTATATGCTGATTCCTTGCTACCATGTGACAGTTATTAGCCCTTTCACCACCTTGTCTATAGATTTACATTACTGACACTGGGTCTCTACATAGATCTATGTTTTCAGCTCAGCTCTCTCAGGTAAGCTAAGTGGTGTAAATTTTGGCTTAGATGTGAGAAAATGTGCCTGGTGAGTGTGCACTGTTTAAAAATATCATGCCCCACACGATACTGTCATTTTTCACTGATATATTGTGTAAATAACTTAGCATGCCATAAACCATGACCAATCACTCTAGTTATGTTTTATAGGGTGAATCATCAATTTTTTGTATGATGAATTCAAAATGAAGGGCAAGTGTAATATAGTAGAGGCCTGGGTACATGATTAATGAACAGAGGCAATGTTGTTTTAGTGCCTCTTATGTCTACAGAGTTGATTTTGGACTCTGTTTTTAAACTGGAACCTAATTTTGTTGAAAACTGGCAAAATTATCCACTTTGGTGCACTTTACAGAGTAGTTCTGATAGCTGAATGGGGGGTTTCCTCAATTGATAGAACAGAAGGCATACCAGGAAACTAGCTAAGAACTAGGTTGAACTGAGCAGTGGAACTGGTTTAAAATAAGACCCAAAAAAGGCAAAAATCGCTGATGCATAAATTGTACACACACACCACTAACTTTGCGCCTGTATAATTCTAAAATCTGTCATCAAATTTTTGTACTTTTGGTTTTTCAGAAAGATTCTCTACCATTTCAGAATTTTTTTTTTTTTAAATGCTGACACCTAGCACTTAAATTTTGGGGCTTCCAACAGTGAAGTGGTTAGATGACCTGACACCCTCACCTGATCACCACCACTGACCTGTTTTCTCTCCTATATATACTTTGATGTAGGTAGTGGGTTGGTAGACAGCAACTGCCCAGGGAGGTACTACTGTCCTGCCAAGTGAGTGTAAAACAGAAACCTGTAATTGTTTTACATGATGGTAGGATTGCTGGTGTCTTTATTTTCTGTCTCATAGACATGCAAGATTTCGAGTACGTCTTGCTACTTCTACTTACACTTAGGTCACACTACACATGCATGTACAAGCATATATATACACACCCCTCTGGGTTTTCTTCTATTTTCTTTCTAGTTCTTGTTTATTTCCTCTTATCTCCATGGGGAAGTGGAACAGAATTCTTCCTCTGTAAGCCATGCGTGTTGTAAGAGGCAACTAACATGCCGGGAGCAAGGGCCTAGTAACCCCTTCTCCTGAATAAATTACTAAATTTAAAAACAGAAACTTTTGTTTTTCTTTTTGGGCTACCCTGCCTTGGTGGGATATGCTGGTTTGTTGAAAAAAAGAAAATATACTTTGTTCTCTTGTATTATTTGACATGACCAAGGTCTTAGCACTAAAATGTTTCCAATAAAGAAATCCTTTCTTCCATATTGTTGGTATCATTATACCTGCTACTTTCATAACATTTTACATTAATTCATAAATAGGATTAAAAACTGAAGTACAATATAAGAATTGTGCAAGTGCTTGCACTGATTACAAACCTCTGAGATTCTTCTTTTGAAGTTGCTTGGAATATATAGTGCTTCTTAGAATGATGAAGCTTAAATGCTCTCTCCTTTTCCTTTTCACTAATGCCGCTCTCATTTCGTGTTCCCTAGGAATAAAATTAAATAATTGTCAGGCAAGGTAATATAAAATGAATTTCATGTTCTGACATTAAGGAATAGGCACAGTTCTGCTAGGGTAATGCTAACACAATCTGTACCAAGGTACATTTACAAAAGTAAATGTGTGTGGGTCCTAGGTAGCAGGTTGGTAGACAGCAACCACCCAGGGAGGTACTACAGTCCTGCCAAGTGAGTGTAAAATGAAAGCCTGTAATTGTTTTACATGATGGAAGGATTGCTGGTGTCTTTTTTCTGTCTCATAAACATGCAAGATTTTGGGTACGTCTTGCTATTTCTACTTACACTTAGGTCACACTACACATGCATGTACAAGCATATATATACACACCCCTCTGGGTTTTCTTCTATTTTCTTACTAGCTCTTGCTCTTGTTTATTTCTCCATGGGGAAGTGGAACAGAATTCTTCCTCCGTAAGCCATGCATGTCGTAAGAGACAACTAACATGCCGGGAGCAAGGGGCTAGTAATTCCTTCTGTGAACATTACTAAAGTTAAAAAGTGAAACTTTCATTTTTCTTTTTATGTCACCACACTTGGATCCACTTCGAGGACAGCATGAAGCAAGCTTCTATACAACAAGACGGGCAGAAAGCAGCAACTTTACTCTGGCTGTACCCTTCTCCCGAACATCACTTCATCTGAGATCATTTATCCCCAGCATTATGATGTCAATGAGATAAAGTCAGTTGATCAGATGAAAATGCTGGCCCACAGATGGCTCCAACTTCATCCTGTTTCCTACTTGTATGTCTCATAACAATAAAAATGCTTTCAAATGAGCTGATGTAGGTAACAGCTCTAAGCTTGTCAATAAAGCTAGGGATCCTTAACCTAACCTTGTCAAACCCTGTGTATAAAAAAAAAAAATATTTCCAGGCTGAGAGATTGATTACCTCAAACTCCTCCTCTCCTTATACCTTCCTGCTTCGTACTGAACTGATAAAGCCACTGTGTGGCAAAATGTTGTGCTGTATAGTCCTTGTGGCTTAGCGCTTCTTTTTGATTATAATAATAATAATCTTCAATAAAGATTCCCGTATATTGCATAAGTGTCTCAATTCTTCAGTTATTCATTTGTTCAGTTACCTTTGTTAAATTTTATCAAGCCTGTAGTGTGCAGTACATCATCCCTGTGCCTGTACTGTGCAGTACACCACCCCTGTGATGGCAATTGTTTTTCATGCTCCCTGCAGCAGGAAGAAAGGCAATTGCCCTAGGGCAAATTTGATTTGCAGCCTTTCCATGAATTCTTTAGTGATTTTCTTTAACACTGCTTCCTCATCTTTGTTTCCATTTGTATTGCTGGAATGTACTACTTCTTGGAGAAGTAGAAGACTCAAACTGGAGAAATGATGTCACTTAATGGAATGGTTATATCAGTGCTGTGGAGATGGATAAGCTTTGTTTCTCTGATCATTATTCTAGTTATTTTGTTGGTTTCTCAGTTGCCACTTAATAGGTGCTGCTGCTGTTGGTGTAGCCATACCATTCATGGTGACTGGATGCAGTTGGGAAACAATAGAACTTGCAGAGCTTGTGCTCACCAATAAGTTTGATTATTAGGGGCTTAGATCATTAATGAATTAAGTTTAAACCTAGGAATTCTTTACACTCTTCATATACGCACAAATGACTAAACTTCATTACTAAGAAAAATGACAGTCATAATCATAATGAGGGAAAGAGGAATTGACATACTTTCTGAAGGTAACTTGAAAAATACCTTTACAATTAGTCTAACTAACCCTGTTCAATTGTGAGGTATTGCACCTATTTACACCCTTTTACCTTTGCTGAGGAAGTTGATGCTTTAAGTGTAAAAATGCCTCAGACATGAATAAATCATATTTTTCCCCCTTTCTATTTCTACAGTGGACCCCTGGATTAAGACGTCATTGAAATAAGTAACGTTTTTGTGTCAAAATATTGGCTCAGTGAACGTCACTGAACTCGATATAAGTCATTCGTGTTGGGGCCTGAGCTGCCCAGTGTGCCATTGTTTACCAGTCAGTGAGGACGATCCCACGCGTTCCTATGATACATTTCATACTATTCCATTCTTTTTAGTACTTGTAACTGCTAAATAAGCCACCATGGGCCCAAAGAAAGCTAGTGCCAGCCAGCCCTTTGGTAAAGGGCTGAGAGAGAGGGGAGAATGTGCCTTTTTCAGTGATTCAGCAGGAGTCGATAAAGGCTATAGCGCCAGCCAGCAATAAAGTGTAGCATTAACTGGAGCAAGTAAGTTAAGCGAGTAATCGATAGAAAAATGAGAGCACCAACCTAACTCCTCCAATGTTGTTGGAGTTATATAGGGCGACTGACAATACCACTGCCTCTGCTGCCGCCTCCACCACCACTATGTAAGGCTTATGCTCTCAGTGGCCCTTATACACCCAACAACAACAACACAGCAACACTCGTGACATGCTTAATGACTTATTTTATTCATTCTAGAGTATATATCATGTTTCTATGTTATTAATTTTACTTATTATGTCTTATCAGATAAATTTTGTTAGATAAATAAGCCGTACAGCTGATATTAGTGTCATATTGAAGGACTATCTTGTCCTGTCTCCCAACACAATTCCTAACATATGCCAGAAACAGACCTCTCTGGAAGACATTTCTGAGCGACAGGGGTCCAGTGACTCTCAAGCTGGTCCTAGTGGCATTAAAAAACAATGGAGGGTAGTAACCCAGGATAAAGACTTGGTACCTGAAGTCTTTATGGAGTGGGATTCCCCTTCCCAACAATTGTAAACTCCTCCATCCTCTCCCCTCCTCCCATCTTCCATATGTCACCATGTCTTCAATAAAGGTAAGTGTGATATTATTGTTGTATTCTTCATGTATCATTGTTTTATGTGTAGGTAAATGTATATTTCATGTAGAAAACATTATTTTAATACTTTTGGGTGTCTGAAATGGATTAATTGGATTTCCATTATTTCTTATGAGGAAAATTAATTTGGAATAAGTCAGATTCAAGATAAGTCACTCTCTCTGGAACGGATTAATTTCGTAATCCGGGGGTCCACTGTATATATGAATCCTACTACTGTAATATGGATATTTTAACAAATGTATGATTCTCAAGTTGCTACCCTAATACTGTACACAAAAATTAAGTTTACCTGTAGATGTGTCACAGTAAACCCAGGTACAGGTGTAGCAGTTAGTGCTTGGTCATCTGCTTCACATTTAAAAGAATAAAGAACAAAATCGGTGTGTAAAGCAAACCACCGCTTCACCCAGGTTTTACGGTGTGTCTTAAGTTGAAGAAACCCTTGTATTACTGCTCCTCCAGTTTTGGCAGAAACCTAAGTGAGAAGACAAAAAGAAAACTGGATTACTTCCTTTACTTAAAGATACTCTGTGACTAATACCATGCTGTATAACTTTATTTAGGTACAGGCACACAAATAGTTACACAAATTATCATACATAGTAACGTGTGTAAATTACCTAGGATAACCCAAAAAGGTCAGACAATGGGGTACCTATGCAAAAAGAATGATTCAGTCACTAGGATTTTGTGAATCTTAGCATTTCAAAAACAGAAGTCTGCTGATGAAGAGATAACCAAGTCAACAAGAAACATTCAAACTGCCCCCACCAAAAAAATATAAAGAGGTGATAAATGAAGAATCAGTATACAGAAAAACACCGTTCATTTGAAATGAAGAAAATTATGATGGTAGGATTGCTGGTGTCTTTTTCTGTCTCATAAACACACTGGATAACAGGTATATCTTGCTACTTCTACTTACATTTAGGTCACACTACACAGGCATACACATGCATATATATATACATACACACTATTCACAGAAAGGTGGGCTAGTGCAAAGATGAGTACTGGGGGGGTTGAAGAGGGTTGGAATAGTTTTAAAAATGCAGTATTAGAATGTGGGGCAGAAGTTTGTGGTTATGGGAGGGTGGGGGCAGGAGGAAAGAGGAGTGATTGGTGGAATGATGAAGTAAAGGTTGTGATAAAAGAGAAAAAGGTAGCTTATGAGAGGTTTTTACAAAGCAGAAGTGTTATAAGAAGAGCAGAATATATGAAGAGTAAAAGAAAGGTAAAGAGAGTGCAAAAGGAGAGCAGATGATAGAGTGGGAGAGGCACTGTCAAGAAATTTTAATGAAAATAAGAAAAAATTTTGGAGTGAGTTAAACAAGTTAAGAAAGCCTAGGGAAAGTATGGATTTGTCAGTTAAAAACAGAGTAGGGGAGTTAGTAGATGGGGAGATGGTGGTATTAGGTAGATGGCGAGAATATTTTGAGGAACTTTTAAATGTTAAGGAAGAAAGAGGCAGTAATTTCATGCACTGGTCAGGGAGGTATACCATCTTTTAGGAGTGAAGAATGTAAGTGTGGGGGAGGTACGTGAGGCATTACGTAGAATGAAAGGGGGTAAAGCAGCTGGAACTGATGGGATCATGACAGAAATGTTAAAAGCAGGGGGAGATACAGTGTTGGAGTGGTTGGTACTTTTGTTTAATAAATGTATGAAAGAGGGGAAGGTACCTAGGGATTGGCGGAGAGCATGTATAGTCCCTTTATATAAAGGGAAAGGGGACAAAAGAGACTAAAAATTATAGAGGAATAAGTTTACTGAGTATACCAGGAAAAGTGTACGGTAGGGTTATAATTGAAAGAATTAGAGGTAAGACAGAATGTAGGATTGCGGATGAGCAAGGAGGTTTCAGAGTGGGTAGGGGATGTGTAGATCAAGTGTTTACATTGAAGCATATATGTGAACAGTATTTAGATAAAGGTAGGGAAGTTTTTATTGCATTTATGGATTTAGAAAAGGCATATGATAGAGTGGATAGAGGAGCAATGTGGCAGATGTTGCAAGTATATGGAATAGGTGGTAAGTTATTATATGCTGTAAAGAGTTTTTATGAGGATAGTGAGGCTCAGGTTAGGGTGTGTAGAAGAGAGGGAGACTACTTCCCGGTAAAAGTAGGTCTTAGACAGGGATGTGTAATGGTTAGTGGATGAGTTCGGGAATGTGTGTAATGGTAGAAAGTTGAAAGTGAACATAGAAAAGAGTAAGGTGATGAAGGTATCAAATGAATTAGATAAAGAAAAATGGAAGAAGTGAATGTTTTCAGATACTTGGGAGTTGACGTGTCGGAGGATGGATTTATGAAGGATGAGGTTAATCATAGAATTGATGAGGGAAAAAAGATGAGTGGTGCGTTGAGGTATATGTGGAGTCAAAAAATGTTATCTATGGAGGCAAAGAAGGGAATGTATGAAAGTATAGTAGTACCAACACTCTTATATGGGTGTGAAGCTTGGGTGGTAAATGCAGCAGCGAGGAGACGGTTGGAGGCAGTGGAGATGTCCTGTTTAAGGGCAATGTGTGGTGCAAATATTATGCAGAAAATTCGGAGTGTGGAAATTAGGAAAAGGTGTGGAGTTAATAAAAGTATTAGTCATTGAGCAGAAGAGGGGTTGTTGAGGTGGTTTGGTCATTTAGAGTGGTTTGGTCATTTTGAGAGAATGGATCAAAGTAGAATGACAAGGAAAGCATATAAATCTATAGGGGAAGGAAGGCGGGGTAGGGGTCGTCCTCGAAAGGGTTGGAGAGAGGGGGTAAAGGAGGTTTTGTGGGCAAGGGGCTTGGACTTCCAGCAAGCGTGCATGAGCATGTTAGATAGGAGTGAATGGAGACGAATGATACTTGGGACCTGACGATCTGTTGAAGTGTGAGCAGGGTAATATTTAGTGAAGGGATTCAGGGATTCATATAGTCGGACTTGAGTCCTGGAAATGGGAAGTGCAATGCCTGCACTTTAAAGGAGGGGTTTGGGATATTGGCAGTTTGGAGGGATATGTTGTGTATCTTTATATGTGTATGCTTCTAAACTGTTGTATTCTGAGCACCTCTGCAAAAACAGTAATAATGTGTGAGTGTGGTGAAAGTGTTGAATGATGATGAAAGTATTTTCTTTTTGGGGATTTTCTTTCTTTTTTGGGTCACCCTGCCTCGGTGGGAGATGGCCGACTTGTTGAAAAAAAAAAAAAAAAAAACATTTAGGTTTTTATTCTTTTTTCTAAATAGCTCTTGTTCTTCTTTATTTCCTCTATTGTCCATGGGGAAGTGGAAAAGAATCTTTCCTCCATAAGCCATGCGTGTCGTATGAGGTGACTAAAATGCCAGGAGCAATGAGCTAGTAACCCCATCTCCTGTAAACATTTACTAAAAAACATAAGAACATAAGAAAGGAGGAACACTGCAGCAGGCCTGTTGGCCCATACTAGGCAGGTCCTTTACAATTCATCCCACAAACAAAACATTTGCCCTACCCAATTTTCAATGCTACCCAAGAAATAAGCTCTGATGTGCAAGTCCCACTCAAATCCAACCCCTCCCACTCATGTACTTATCCAACCTAAATTTGAAACTACCCAAAGTCCTAGCCTCAATAACCCAACTAGGTAGACTGTTCCACTCATCAACTACCCTATTTCCAAACCAATACTTTCCTATGTCCTTTCTAAATCTAAACTTATCTAATTTAAATCCATTACTGCGGGTTCTCTCTTGGAGAGATATCCTCAAGACCTTGTTAATATCCCCTTTATTAATACCTATCTTCCACTTATACACTTCGATCAGGTCTCCCTCATTCTTCGTCTAACAAGTGAATGTAACTTAAGAGTCTTCAATCTTTCTTCATAAGGAAGATTTCTAATGCTATGTATTAATTTAGTCATCCTACGCTGAATGTTTTCTAACGAATTTATATCCATTCTGTAATATGGAGACCAGAATTGAGCTGCATAATCTAGGTGAGGCCTTACTAATGATGTATAAAGCTGCAGTATGACCTCTGGACTTCTGTTGCTTACACTTCTTGATATAAATCCCAATAATCTATTTGCCTTATTACGTACGCTTAAGCATTGCTGTCTTGGTTTAAGGTTGCTGCTTACCATAACCCCCCCCAAGTCCTTTTCGCAATCTGTATGGCTAAGTTCTACATTATTTAACTTGTAAGTGCTAGGGTTATGGACACTCCCGAGCTTCAGAACCTTGCATTTATCTACATTGAACTGCATCTGCCACTTTTCTGACCAAGAATAGAGTTTGTCTAATCTTTCTGAAGTTCACTAACATCTACGTTTGAATCAATTATCCTACCTATCTTTGTGTCATTGGCAAATTTGCTCATATCACTACTAATTCCTTCATCAAGATCATTGATATATATTATAAACAACAACGGGCCCAAGACTGACTCCTGTCGAACGCCGCTTGTTACCGATCCCCACTCGGATTTAACCCCATTTATGGACACCCTCTGCTTCCTGTCTGTGAGCCATGACTCGACCCCCGAGAGCACTTTTCCCCCAATGCCATGAGCTGCCACTTTCTTTAACAGTCTTTTGTGTGCCTTACTAAAATCTAAGTAAATAATATCAAATTCTTTATCGTGGTCAACAGCCTCAAAAGCTTTACTGAAGAAAGTTAATAAATTAGTTAGACAAGAACGGCCTCTTGTGAATCCATGCTGAGTATCATTAATCAAGCTATGCTTATCGAGATGGCTTCTTATAATCTGAGCTATAATTGACTAGTAATTTGCCTACAATTGAGGTCAGGCTTATTGGGCGGTAATTTGACGGTAACACTTGTCCCCTGTTTTAAAAATAGGAATTACATTAGCCATCTTCCACATTTCAGACACTAGATAAAGAGATAAATTAAAAATGTTAGTTAATGGTTCACAGAGTTCCATTTTGCATTCCTTAAGAACCCTTGAAAAAACCTCATCAGGACCCGGTGACTTATTTTGCTTCAATCGGTCTATCTGCTATACAACCATTTCACTAGTGACTGTGATGTTACATAATTTATCTTCTTCTGGCCCACTATAAAAATTAATTACTGGAATATTATTAGTGTCTTCCTGTGTAAAAACCGAGAGAAAATAATTATTTAAAATCGAGCACATTTCATTCTCTTTGTCAGTAAGATGCCCATAGTTATTTTTAAGGGGACCTGTCTTATCTCTGACTTTTGTTCTATATACCTGGAAAAAACTTTTTGGGTTAGTTTTAGAATCCCTAGCAACTTTAACTTCATAGTCCCTTTTAGCTTTTCTTATCCCCTTTTTAATGTCCCTCTTAATGTCAATATACTGATTCATAAGTTGACCCTCACCTCTTTTGATACACCTATAAATTCCTTTCTTATGCCCTAGTAGATATTTCAGCCTATTATTCATCCATTTTGGGTCATTTCTATTTGATCTAATTTCTTTATACAGGATAAACGTTCTTTGAGCCTCATGTATAGTGT